GGGTCGAAAAACAAGCAGTATAAGCTTTTTACCGACATTACAACCCCAAACGAAAACACAGTAATGGCGAAAAATATGATTTTTTGTGATTTTTATTTTTTTCAACCAGTTTAGCTTATTTTTAAATGGTTTAAAACGCAATTAAAAAACTGTTTTGGATGTATGGTAGTCCCCTGAATTTTTTCAGATTTTTTGGTCAAGTATAAACATGTGAATTTTAGGTTTAAATGCGAAAAAATCGTGAAAAACGCGTCATTTTCAAGATTCAACCCTCTAATTTTTAGGGTTGTTTTCATTTTCCCGAGGGGTGCTGTATAGTATAGATAGCGGCAATCGTCCTCTTTTGAATGCAGGTAACTGGACTCAATTTGGTCAATATTTATTAACACAGGTTTGATAATGTAAAAAATATCATTGAATCACAGCATTTAAACAATTTTAATATCGTGTTCAACTAATATAATCAATGAAATTAAATTTTCTGGTATAAATCATATTTTATTCAAGCTTACGTAATAGTCACACAGTAATATAAAATAGCATAATACTTTTTTACAGAGCTAAGTTAACAATTTTACAGTTTTAATCCTCGTCACTCGGGGTATTGATGTATCTCTTGCCAAGTTAGCAATTCCGTTAACACAGTAACTTTTGCTCAGTTTGGTTGGTATTTTGGAACGGTTTGGAAGAAAGTTTGAGTCAGTGTTGTATCTCTGGTATACCTACACAGAATGAGATAAAAGGCCTTAGACGAAGAAATATTATAATTATTTATTATTTTTCTTATCTTTTATTGTTTATTATTATAATATGGCTAGGTATAATGCGAAGCAATTGGTATCAACATAAATCAGTTCTGCCAACATACAGACTCTAATTACAATGACATTTAATAAAAATATTTATAATTAAATTTACAAGCACAAGTTATAATGAATTAAAAATAAGGTAATACCATGCATTTAAGAACTATATAGTTTTTTTAAACATTTTTATTTATTTTTAGCTAAAATACGTTCATTTGTTAAGTTATGTTTTATCAAAATTAAGAAGTTGGGCCTTCAAAACAAGGTTATGGTGTTATTAATTCTGCTGCTTAATTTTATGCGGGGTTTTAAGTGCAATATGTAAAAGTGTCTTACTAGTGTGAAAATGAATAATTGTGTTGTGTTTCTTCAAGAAACCACCAAAACTTTTAACATGCCTGATTACAAATACAGCATAAAACAATGTTATAGAAAAGCCTTTATGAACGAATTTTATTTACTATTTTTTGCCTTATGTTGCTTTATTATTTAGAACCTAAATTGTTTTGTAGAACATGTTTTTCTTATAAAAATTTAGAAACTCATTTAGGGTTGCCATGTTTGTAAAGTATAGAAGCAAAATCTTTCAGCATTTCAGAATAAAATGTAACATTTTATAGGAAAAATGTAAATACAATATTGCAAACATATCTAGGTTATATGTTGAGTTGGATTTAAAATATATTGTTAAATGGATATGTACTATTTTAGTCTTTTATTTTAATTTAACAAAATATGTTTATATCTAAATTACACTAATGCAGTGATAGTAAGTAATACATGATTTTTATATTATATTTATTTATTTTACACTATGTTATAGCTAGCAAAAAAACTTCTATATTTTCAAGTTAATTCTTTGAAGTATTCTTCTATTTCTGCTGCCTTGACAGGATGATAATGCAAGGTTCTGTGTTTGGTCAGGCACCGAAACCTTTGTTTAAGAACACCAAAGCATCGCTCTATTACATTTCTTGCTCTTATATGAGCGACCTTTCGGTGTATTTTCTGAGGCATCCATAATAGTGGTAAGCAAATACGGTAACAGTGGGTACCGTGAGTCACCTAAAATAAATATTATGTTATACAGGGTATCCCATAATTATCGTGCAGCAGATTTTACGTACAAAAATATGAAAAAAAGTTCCTATAAACGTAGGCCGAGAAATGCTTTCTAAGAGAGCTGAAAGAGGAGCCCCTGAAGATGGTTTTTATTTAATATATCCAAAACCGTTCAAGATAGAAAAGTAAAATTTTGGGAATTAATCAAACTTTTTATGGCCAATAAGATGTAATAATAACAATTCAAAATTTCGATGAGGGGTGGGTCAGGTAGTTGGGAGTAGGGGTTAAAACCACCCTAACTTTTTTGTATGTGTCTCGTGCTAGGATTTGATGTCAGATTATGAAATTTCGGAGTTTTACACACAAAAAAGGTCCTCTTGTTAAACTTTGATATTATCCACTGTTTTACCTTAAAATCAATTTAAAAATTACATTACATGGCATAAAAGATCATAATGAATTCACAAAAGAAAAAAAATCAGCTTAGGCCATGGAACACAGCTGCCATTTTTATGAAAAATTATTTAAGACAGGTGACAGTTTCATGTACTATGTGACAGGGTGTTTAAAAATTGTCCATGGCCTACGCTGAATTTTTTTCTCCAGTTGTGATTTCATTATGAATTTTTATGCTATGTAAGGTAATTTTTAAATCGATTTTAAGCAAAAACAGTGCATGCTATTGAAGTTCATCAAATGGACCTTTTTTATGTGTAAAACTCTAAAATTTTATGATCTCATATCAAATAATAGCTCAAGATACGTACAAAAAAGTTAGGGTAGTTTTACCCACACTCCCTATCTATCTGACCCACCCCTTATGAAAATGTTGAATTTGTTATCATTGCAACTTATTGGCCATAAAAAGTTTAATTATATCCCAAAATTTCACTTTTCTATTTAACGGTTTTGGAGATATTAAATAAAAAACATCTTCAGGGGCTTCTCTTTCGGGGCTGTAGCTCCCTTGGGAAACATTTCTTGACCTATTTTAATGGGAACTTTTTTTCTTATATGCGTAGAACCTGCTGTTAAAGTATTGCCCGCTAATTATGGGAAACCCTGTATATGTTGGTATGTTTGGTTTATTAGCATAGAAAAGGCTCAGTACACACACATATATATATATATATATACATATATATATATGTACAGAACCTTTTGTATGCTAATAAACCATATTACACATGTAAATAATTATTAAAAAATATATAAAACATTTATCATACCAATTAGCCACTCATCATTCCACTGCCCTGAAACATATTGCTCATGCAACATATTTCTTATCAAACTGAATGCCCAAATTCTAGAATCATGAGTTGAGCCTGGAAATCTGGCATTGCAGTTTAGAATTCTCAACTCATGGTCACAAATCTAAAAAAATATAGTTAGTATTATTGCAAATTAAATATTATTAAAATCATTGCTAAATACCATTTGAACATTAGGCTGTAATACCCCTTACAGGGTCTTCAGCAGCAGGAGCCACAATTTCCACATGGGTGCAATAAATGGCACCTATCACCCCCAGAAGATTAAACATGGTTTTGAACCTACAAATTGCAAACAACATTAAAACAAATGCATAGATATTTATAATTTACCCAAAATAAATATACAGGGTGTCCACTAATTAATGACGTTTTTGCACAAAATTTGATACTTTTCAGGGCTGTATGCGAAACATTGTATTTGTTTAAAGTAAAATAAAGTTTTTCCTTTGCCTATTTTTTTAAATTGTTAATTCAGGTACATCAGGTTTTAGAAATAAAGGACAATACAATTTTGTATTATGTATGTATGTATGACATTTTAAATTGATGAAGCAACCTAAAAAAGTAAAAAAAAATAGGCTAAATGCAATGTGTTGCAGACAGCTCTCTTTAAAATCTACATTATTTTTTTAAGGAAATTTAAAATTTCTGCTCTGAAAAATACCCAAACACCACACTTTGTGCAAAAAAAATTTGTTTTTTTAAAATAAACTTTTAACCCTATGTGCTTTATCAACTTGTCAATGGTTAAATTGTGGGGGTAATATTTTTACCTAAAGAATCTGTTGTTTTGCGGTATACCATTAATTTTAGGACACCCTGTATATTTTTAAAAATTATTTTAGAAGGGATGTTTTTATTATTATTGCATTTTGCAATATAAATTAGTAATACTTCAATAATTTACCTTTAGTTCAACAGAAATTGCAGTTCTCCGTTGCCCCTGAGTTAAGAATGGTTCTAATTTAAAAATTATTTGTTCTGCAACAATTTTAGTTACTCTAAAATATCGCAAAAACATTTTATTTTCCAAATTAAAAAGATTGCTGTCATCACGTAGCCTTCTCCGTTGCAAATTAAGTTCATGACTAAAAATATAAAAATTCATAATTAATGTTAATGGGAGTGCAATTTATATGAGTCGCACTTCCAGTAAATTTTGGCTTACCTTAAAATTAATAGTTTGGAGCAATTAAATTAAAAAGATACGAATTTATTTATTTTAATTTGTTTATTGTAATACCTACATGTAGTTTATTGTAGTACATGGGAAACATACTAAAATTATTTGAATAAACAAATTCGAGTTTTTACAATTCAATTACTCCAAACTATAGTTTCTAATTTATGCCACTATTTTACGTACAAAATATACACCAAGGCATACAAAACATGTTCAATGTGTTGGTACTTACCAATCAATTAATAAATTAATTAATACTAACCTTTGATCACCAACTATCATTTCCTCGATTTCTTCCACAATTAGTTGCTCGATTTCATTACCCAAATCGTTCATTTTTGACTAGCAATTAGTTAATTAACTACAAACCAAAGATAAACGTTCCACGAAAATTTATAGGTTATAAAAACGGCGAAATAAAACGCGGTACCAACCTTTCACTAAGATTGTGGCGCTAAATTCAAACTCTTGCTATCTCTGTACGCTAACTTATCGGGAGCTCTGAAGCACCTGCTAAAATTTGGAGGTTAGAATCTGTTAAAATTGATTTATGAGTCATGGCTGCTTTGTTATTGTAAATATGAACAGCTGAAAACACGTAGTGGGGGAAACAAGACTATATTAAATGAAACGTATGAGCTTGTCAGGTAATAAAACGCAAACTAAAACTTATTTCTTTTCTGGTGATATTTTTAGCGGACCAGTTAGCAAGAAAGTTACATCAATGGGCCCACTATCTTCTTCAATAACATGTTCAACGCTTTGAACAGAGAAAAGATTTGTGAGAATCTGTGCTGGACGAATAATTCGCGACAAATATCTTTGTTGTCAAAAAATTTTTTTGACATCAAATTCGTGATCAGCGACCTCAAAAACCTCTATGGAGATGTATTTTTTATAGCAAAGACGCATTATACCAAGTACGCGCCGTAAATTACCGAAAGTTGAAAATTCGAGTTTTTTTCAAAAAATCGCCCCGCTCACCAGAATTGACCAAATTGAGTCCAGTTGCCTGCATTCAAAAGAGGACGATTGCCGCTATCCATACTATACAGCACCCCTCGGGAAAATGAAAACAACCCTAAAAATTAGAGGGTTGAATCTTGAAAATGACGCGTTTTTCACGATTTTTTCGCATTAAGCCTAAAATTCACTTGACCAAAAAATCTGAAAAAATTCAGGGGACTACCATACATCCAAAACAAATTTTTAATTGCGTTTAAACCATTTAAAAATAAATTAAACTGGTTGAAAAAAATAAAAATCACAAAAAATCATATTTTTCGCCATTACTGTGTTTTCGTTTGGGGTTGTAATGTCGGTAAAAAGCTTATACTGCTTGTTTTTCGACCCCCTTCAAGATTTTTGGAACGATTTTACCAGATTCGGTGGGGGCCGCCAGATCCCCCTTAACCCGCTACCCCCTTTGTTTTACAACAGAAAATACACAATACAAAATTATTTAGATACAATTAAAGCAAGTGTTAAAGTAAATTACGCAGTTGTTGATATTAGGAAGGACAATATCTTTGTTGTGATGTTTTTTATCGACAACTTCTACTATTTTTATTTCCACGCTAGCACTTGAGGATGATGTTAAAGAATCATTGTCCGCTGATTTGAACAGCTGAAAGTTCGAAATTTTAAGTTTCTTTGTAATAAATGAACATATTTTCCTGTAGTTTGAGACACGTTTTTATTATCAACATTTTTGTCCTTAAAGTGTTAACTATAGTTATAACTTTTCGATAGCTCAGACACATAGCAGAGTAAAACATCATCGGTTATTGTGTCCACATTTTTTCTGTTGAGCCATCTTTTCTGGCAATAAATTTGAATTAATTTGAATTAATGCGGCCGCTTCAGTACGAATATTTTCTTTGATATCTTCTTAGTTTTACAAATAAACAACCGTTACCAATAGCTATCAAAGCCCAGTTTCTTTATATATAAAGGCTTTGGATTTGCTAGCTTAACGTTTTTTAAATTTAACCATGACATTCAAATTGACACTGCAGTGTTAACATGTTAAATTCTAACAAATTTACGTTTGTTTTTTTATAGGTATTATAAAAAGTATAGAACATACGGCCGATATTAGGCATATAACGAACTCGGATAAATGCTACGCCCCGGCCTACAAAAATCCTCGTTATATGCCTAATATCGGCCTTATATCGTTATATGCTATATCTTAACTTTATTATAACTTCGTTATTTCATTTTAACATCACTTTGATTTGTTGTCATCTAAGCTGATTATTTTTAAGCTCGTCATGGTCATTAGTGCTGTACTTTAAGCCCCATATAACTCTGGTCATAATTATAACTTCTTATCTTGTGTTCATTTTACTTTGTCGTCAAAACGGAATTAAGGTTTATTATTAGTAATTGCACTGCTCAAAAGCAATTTGGCCAAATGGTGGCCAACAACTACTAGAGTAATTCTGCCTAATTAGGTCTTGTTTTTAAGATATTGCGAGAAAACCGTTTTTTTCGACATGCAAACATTAAAATTCGTAGATGCAGGGTGCACCAAGTATCCTTTTATGTATGCACAAAAAAAACGTTAGCATAGCATAAATGGGTGAGCCTTTAAACCAATGGGATCTTGTAATCCGTATTCCTGAATAACAGCCTATAATAGCAATTGGTTTATAATCGTTTACTGTTTTAAAATTAACAACAAAAGTTATCGCTCATAAATCTATTGATATTTAATTGTTAGAATGTTAAAATGTTATTGCATTAAATACTAATTTGATTTATTTAATAACGTTACTATAGTATGCATACTATGTATACATTTAACGCAATACATTCTTTGACATTTAGGCAAAATCTTTTTTCCTATTTTGGTAATTAATTGAGCAAATAACAATTTAGATTGCTTCAATTTTAGTGCATTCAATGACAGCGTGGTTCTTGGTACTATAGTACATATTATGTATATGTTAGTACTATATATGTATATGTTAGTACTATATATGTATATGTTAGTACTATATATGTATATGTTGGTACTATAGTACATATTATGTATATGTTAGATTTTTTTATGTGTGGGTAACTTTTTTATTTAAATTTATTACAAGACTATTAAAAAACGAAAATTAAAAAAAATAGGCTGGCTTATTATGGCCACTATATTAGAATTTTATATGAATGTAATTTTATTTTATTTTAATATGCTTGTAATTACGAAACTTTTCTCTAATTTAACCGACCTTGTAGCTCTTCAAATAAAAAATATACATATACAATTGTATACTTAAGTATACAAAAAGAAGGATACCTAGCTCACTCTGTATTTTGTTAATCAAATATGGATCCTAATTAAACTAAAAAAAAATATACAGGCATTTATATAGTTATTTGCCTTAAAAATCCCGTTTTTAACAAACAAATTTTTTTTTTTTGGGCAAAATTGAAAAAATTTCAAAGTTTTGTTACATGAACAATTTTCGTCCAATTTTAATGTAGTTTAGAAAATATTGTAGCTTCTACTAAACTATCGTGTTAAAATTGTCAAAATGGCACTCAAAACAACCGCGCATGTCATAATGTATATTTACGGTTATTTTTGCTTCTGGCGCTTGCACTACTCCTTAAATAAATTCTGTATGAAGTATGTATTTATTGTTGTTCGCAGATTTTTTTATAAAGTTGATTTTATTTCTTTAAAAACATGATTTTTTATTTGAATACAGCGCCGTAGCTACAATGGTTCCGTGGGTTCGGTGGAACCAGGCCCGCGAGCTCAAGGGGCCCGCGGCCAGCGGTTGGAATAACAAAATTTGTTTTTTCAAATATTTGGATTAATTTTTTTAAATATATTTCAACATTTATAAGGCATTTATTTATAATCATGGCTTAAGGCTTAGTTAATAGTAAAAGACCAGCAATAATAATAATAATAATGTAAAAGCGAGTCAAAATTAAAACTTAAAAAACTATCAACAACCTGTTCGTCTTTACGCAATGATGCAATAAAAGCCCTACGTTTTAGGTATCTTGATGTTCTTAAGGCCTTCTCAAAAATTATTTTAACATATAATAATAAGGCTGAAATAGAAAACTCTAAAGGATTTAAAAGTACATTGGAGGACTTTAAAACAGTGTTTTTGATTATTTTACAATCTAAAATTTTAAATCGCATAGACACAGTATCAAAACTCTTACAAAATCAGCAGAAATATTTCCAAAAATCTAGTAAACTTTTGAAAAATGTGTTAAATGACATAAGCACACTTCGGAATGAATTTTTAGATATAAAAAGAGGACAATATTACAGCAAGTAAATGGAGTATAATTCCAGAATTTTGCCAAAAACGTATTCACAAAGCTTTTTTTGATGAAGTTGCAAATGACGTTGTTTTTAAACTGCTGAAGATACTTTTAGAGTTGAAGTTTTTTAAGACCCTAGTTATTATTATCAGACAGTTACAAAGTAAAAAAAAATAGTTTACATCAAATAGCCACTAACTTCAGTATTTTGGATACAGATGTTCTGTTAAATTCTACTGATACAGAAGTATACCAAAAGGCGGAAAACATTCTTGAAATATATGAAGATGATATTTTAGACTTTCCTATCAATTAATAGCTTTGTTTTTCTGACGAACTAAAAAATATTAAGTCAGTAAAGAATTTGCTAAAATTTATTATGGTTGACAATTTCTCATCCAGTAGCAGCTTTACCGAAATAATAACACTATGTTTTCTATACCTTACAATTCCTGTGACAGTTGCATCGGCAGAACGATCGTTCCTAAAAAAAGTTAATAAAAACTTATTTAAGGAACTCCATGAGTCAATATCGATTATCGTCTTTGCCAATGATCTTCATTAAAAATACAGTTGCCCGCTCCATAGATTTACAAGGAATTATTACAAAATTTTCCGCTGCTAAATCTAGGAAAGTAGCTTTTTATTAATTATTAATGGACACACCTTTATTTTTTATGCCCTTATATTTTGTTTATAATATATTATTATAAATTTTTTATTAGTTTTAGTTTATTTTTCCTGTGTATTTTATATAATAAAATAGACAATATATTATATAGTCTTTTATTTTTATATTATATATTATTTTTATATAGTCTATAGTATATAGTCTTTTATTTTTTCTTCACTATCAAAGCGGTAGATTTAAGGAGTTATAAAGGTTGTTGTGTTTCTCCCAAATATAACATAAAAAATATTAATTAGTACTAAATAAAAAAACACCTAGAGGCCCGTGGGTATAGCCTGGAACCCGGGCCCGTTGGGTTGTTGCTACGGCGCTGTTTGAATAACAAAACAACATTAAACAAAATATATACAGTAACCGGCAAAAGTATGCAATAAATTCATTGAAAAATTCGTCGCACAATGTATAATTTTAAAATTTTCTAAAATAAAATAAAAATAAATTTTTTATTTAATTTAATTAAAAAGTGTTTATAAAAGAAATTTTCATAAACTTTCTAAAAACATTAAATTTCAAGGTTAAACTTTTTCAGTTTATTATTGTTTTTGTTATTCTACGTTTCCAAGTTTTAAGTTTTTTATTTTATATTTCTTAGTTAGTATATAATTTAAAACCACAACATATCTGTTCTGATCATTCCAGCTGGAATAATCAGAAAAGTCCATTAATTCGCTACCTATGGAGTTATAATAATTTTAAAGTGAATTTTTTTTTCCGGGATATACATAAATAGGAAAATAGAAAATCACGTTGAGGCACCTTAATAATAGTAAAAGCTGAAATTTTAACAAGATTAAATTTAATTTTATTAAATTTTCACCGTAAAGGGGGCCCTGGATCGGGCTGCAGCCTATAAAGCCCATACCTAAATCAGCCCATGGCAAAATTATGATCATTTTTGAAATAAGCGCCCCAAATTACTTTGGAAATGTTATTGGCAAACCATGGGGACCCCCCTTTCTACTATTATTTTATAAAAATATATTAAAATAAAAATTAGGCTTAAAAACTGTTGAATAGTTACAATATCAACAATATTTGATATTCTGTTTAGTTTATCTAGCGAGCATTTATACGAAATAAAAGTTGGCACAAGCAGTACATAATTCATGTCCGCTATCTCTTGGGCCGTAACACTTGATAAAGCTCTAAATAAAGCACAATACTGCCGGCAATAAAGTGCACATATTTCCAATTTTTAAGTACATACTTTAAAATGATGCATTTGCACAAAACGCGCTGCACTGGTGGCTTTTCTGCCGCAGATAGCGCGAACCCGCCGATTTTGTTTATTTTCAGATATCATTCACAGTGGACAGCATTATTTTGGATTGTGAAGACTCTACTGTTAAGTTAAGATAATTTAAATGAAATGTGTGAAGATTCCATTATTAAGTTAAGATAATTTAAATGAAATGTGTTATACATATATGGTTTGTCGTTTTAATATTTTTTTTATTTTGTCATCATTTTAGCTCTCAGCTATCATTGCTTTAGCTTGTCAATTTATTTATTTATTTCACTATAATTATATTTTAATAATTATTTATATAATTTTTACTTTATTTACACTTTACAAAAAAGTAATGACAAAGAAAAAATATAAAGTAACAAAATAAACAATCCTGACAAAATAAACATTTATTTGCGAAATCGGTTCGACGTGAATTTTTGTATACGTATGTTCCTCTACATGTATTTTTTTAATTCTTTGACTTTTTATAACTTTTTGAACTTTATTTTACTTTTGTCTTGCCTTTCATGGATTTTTTTTATTATTTTATGTATTATTATACATATAGGTCATTCCACCACATTTTTTTGGGGGTGACCGCTGCGGTTTTTTTTTTAATTTTGTGGAGTTCTTCACATTAAAATAATTACTTACTTATTAAGTACTTTTTTATGTAAATAATGTTTTATAAAAAAAAATAGTAGGTATTGCTTTTTGTAATAAAGCTTTTCAATGAAAATAATTTGATATACTTATTTGAAAAAAATTTCATCACATACGAGGTGTGTTCAGAAAATAACGGGAATTGTTAAATTTCGCGAGTTCGGAGGATCCGGTTGTTATAAAATTTTCTGTATTATGTTGGTATACATGCCCCCGAAGTATGATACAAACTTTAGATGTTTTCATTGTTTACTTTGTCTGTGGCAGCCGCTAAGGTTAGACGTGTTTTATGAGCTCGGCGATTTTTCGTTCGTTAAAAAAAATGGATCAAAGAATTTGTATCCAATTTTGCTTAAAAAATGAAATAAATTCTGTGAAATGTTAACAAAGGCCTATCTTGAGTCTGCTATAAGTAAAACAAGAGTTTACGTGGTATAAGAGTTTCCAAGATGGCCGTGAAGACGTTGAAGATGACGAACGCCCCGAACGCAAAAGCACATTAACATCCGATAAAAACATGGAAAAAGTGAAAGAAATGGTTATAAACCATCAGAGAAGTCGCTGATGATGTTGGTATATCGATTGGCTCATCCCATGAAATTTTTCGAATGTTTTGGGTGAAACGCGTGGCAGCAAAATTTGTTCTAAAATTGTTAAATTTTGAACAAAATTTTTGGCCAAAAACAATACTGTAATGCCTCAGCCTCCATATTCGCCAGGCATGCCTCTGTCTGACTTTTTCCTATTCCCAAAAATAAAGAGAACCTTAAAGGGCCGTCGTTTTGCAAGCATAGATGACATTAAAAGCGCATCGCTGAAAGAACTAAAGGCTATCCCAAATATCGAGTTTTAGAAGTGTTTCGAGTATTGTAAGAAGAGCTGGCACACTCTAAAAAATGGTTAGGTTTAGTATACTAGAATCTTAGTTTCTATAACCAAGAAACGTTAGTTTAAATAGCATTAAGAGGCAATTTAGTAAGGAATACCAAATTTTATTGTTATAGTTATTCTGGCATTCGTAGCTAGTCGCTCTTGTCATTAGTGAACTAACTGTTTGGTAATTTAAACCGTATATATTTGTTGCCAATACTAAATTTGTTGTTTATGACAAGCAACATAATAATGTTGCTAGGACATTTCAATTTATCTCAATAACTTATTTTACTTTTACTAGCACCAATAATACTTGGTTGCCTGCATATAAATATTAGTTATGAAGACCAGTTTTGTGATTTGGGGATACTAAAATAGATTCTTATTATAACCATGAATTGTTTGTTACGAATGCTAATATTTTCTTCTTATAGGTACTTTAAATCTTGTTATGAGAAAATCTGTTAAGATTTCCATTGTGTTTATTTTTGTTATTACCCGTTTCCGCCCGAAGTATCTTTGGCCAATATCAAGTAAAAACTATTTATTATTTGGTATCGGTAGATACTTACTTCGGGCCGAAACATCGCCGTAGCCATGGCTGCAGTAATTACAAAAACAAATACAAAGGAAGTCTAAAACAGGATCCTTATTTAAATCAATTGATTGTCTACTAGTAGAAGATTATACCACTAATCGCTAGGTTTTACAATTTATTTTTTTGGAAGCAAAATAAAACCTGTGTATTCGTATATATACGAATACCGTCTTTATAAAAATAAAATGCATACTTATTTGGAAAAACTGCTTTTTATTAAATATCTAAATACCCGTAGGTATAAGTAACATTAATAAAGTTCACATGTGCATAAATCATTTAAAAACGGTAATTATACAAAAAACAAATAACAAAAAGAAAACGCGAACTATATTATAAAGTTATAGGTATTTATAATGTTATAACATTACTAAAGTTTACATACTTAAATCATTTAAAAACGGTAAGTACAAAAAACAAATAACAAAAAAAACGCAACTTATACCTATTAAGTTAAATAAATTAAAACGGATTTGCTGCTGGAATTTTATTCTTAATCCCACTTGGGGAATTAAATCCTTTAAAATTTCTCCTTTAAGGGAAGACCAGATGGATTCGTCGATTTTATTTTCTAAAACAGTCAAAATAAATGCTTAGCAAAAACGGGGGCCAAAACAAGTTACAGAGATTTTAGGTATTTTATTTAGGTAAGTATTTTCTATTAAAAAACCATTTACCTATTTACCTACGATAAAAACAATAATTTAAGCTGGGTTCTAACAGAGAAATAACGTAATATAATTTAATTTAACTTTAAAAGTAATTTAATTTAATTTACTTGCTTTCATACAAAAAGTAACGTAATTTAATAGTGTTTAAAATTAAAAACAATATTTTAAAGAGAATGCTTACTTAATGTATCTAAAACTAAAAGTTTTAGATATATATGGCTTACTTTGGTAATTACAATCGAAATATTTGTCTTTTTTCGTTTACACAAAATAGGTTAGATTCTCCCAAAATGGGTTAGATAATACAAAATAACCTTGAAATAACGTAATTTAATTTAAAAGATAAAAGTTGGCCAACTATTAAATTAAGTTTTAAATTACATCACTGTATGAACGTTACAAAGGATTGTTGGGTTTTTAACTTTTAAGTTATATTAAATTACATCTTAAATTAAATTACTTTTCTGTTAGAACCAGGCTTTATTCGGCCGCCATATTGAGTTTTAGAAGGCAGAAGCTACCCTTACCTTTGAAGGTGTCCGTAAATGATTCTAATCCATATTGAATTAGTTTTTCTCTTACAAAATCACCACTCTCACTCATATTGTGCACACACAAAATATTAGTTTTTATCAATAAGGCACAAGGTTTACTTTGTATGATCACACAGAAAATATCATGACCACCCACAATACAACACACGCATTAGTGGACAGCAGAATCTGCTGAGCAGATCGGAGTTTCTGCCGACGTTTAATGGCGCCAAATTTAAAAAAATAATTGGTTAATCATGGCTTTGGCTAACAAAAATAAATATATTAGTATAGGTTACTAGGTAGAATAAAATATATTCGTTGCAACATGCGTGATCGGTTATCATTACTAAAATACAGTTAACAATAATATCCAGTTCTGATAACTAATTTAAATTGTTTAATGCAACCAAAGCATACCTAAAATTGGTTTCAGAAACTAAAAGTTATTTTTAGGTATACTAAAGTACACGTAGCAAGAAAAAATTAGCCTCAACGACCAATGCATTTTTTAGAGTGCACATGTGGATAATATGATATTATTAATATCCAATGGGGATTATTTTGAAGGCGACAAGATTAATGTAGACAAATAAATAAATATTTGTTTCAAAAAACGAAAATTCCCGATATTTTCTGAACACACCTCGTATTGTGTAAAAATTCTTAGTTTTCAGAAAAAAATATTGAATTTTTAAGGGTTTTTTGTTATTTAATAATAATAACAAATGAATATTTTTATTAAAGAGCTAAACATTTTTTACAAAAAAACCAAAACAAAAATATTTAATAAAAAATATGTGTCGTCAAAATTCTAAAAATCATCACTTAATATTGAGAGCTTAAATATTCAGTGAGTTATTATTTTATTGTAAAGAATAATTCGCGGAGTCAATCTAAAAAAAAGATTTGATGTACAGGGTGCTTCAAGTATTTTATACTTACTTTATTTTGAGTTAACATACATATCTAGTTTGATACATCGTTGGATTCCTTGATTTTTTTAACTAAGAGTGTAAAATATAGAAAAAACAAAAGATAGTGCTGGTAACTCAAAATCTATTTTAAATTGGAAAAAAATATAGATAAATGCGTATGTTTGCATATAAAATTTCTTTTGGTTTTAAAAGATTTTTAGTTTTTGTTTTCAAATATTTTGAAACCGCAATTTTTAAATTTCATTGTAATAGCCTATACGTAATTATTATTGTAATTTTACTGTCCTTGAACTCTTCAAATAAAAAAATACCCATAGAAGTATACTTGGTACACCCTGTATATTTGGATTATATTATTGCCTTTTAGATTTTTTGTACTTTTTTTGCATATATTATATGCAAAAAAGTAAAACAAATCCAAAAAAGGCAAAATAAGAGTATACTCTTATAAGAAAAAGTTATAAGAAAAAGTTATAAAAAATAAACAAAAATTTAAAAAAATAAACCCGTATATTATCTATATAGAGATAGCATATGGGTATCTTTATTAGTTTTTTCTTTTAAGATGACTTACTAAGCTAAAAATTTTGTAAGCTGAAAAAATTTAAAAAAAAATTATAATTAATAGTTTTGTGTATTAACATGAAAATATTATTTCATTGTGAATATTAATTTATGAATTTTACTACAGTTCCGCTAAACTGGAATTACCTACTTTCTTATCAACTTAAATGCTTCATAAAACGCTGCTAAAATTTTATTTAAACGGCCTGTGCGCTTTATGTAAGATAACTTGCTTTATACCTCTACAAACTAATTTAATATAATGTTTTATATTAATACTACAAGGCATAATGAGTGCTTATTTTACCAAAAAGTTATACCTCATACTCACAGAGTTTAATTAATAACTGTATTGTTTGGAATCATTAAAATGTAAAATGTTAGCTTAAACGTTCTAATTTAATGCCAGGAACAGCGTTGTAACCAGTTATTAGTAATAATTAATTTAAAGGGTCTCCAAAAAATTCATGTCGACTAAAACAACGCCTGAAATAATTGACCTGTTGTTTATAAATTGATATGTTTATATGTATATGTATACCGGGTGATTGATTAATAATTCGAGAAAAATTAATATAAGATTCCTTGCATATAAATAAGAAATAAATATCTAAAAATCCCAAAACAATAACAATACTTCCTGATAAAAAAGTTTTATTTTGCATTTTTTAATATACCTATTCAGTGTCCCCCAGTATCCAGGTCGAAATATTTTGACGAGACAAAAACTCTTTTGATTTTAGCAGTTGACGCTATGGCAATATCAATTTTAAATAAAATAAAATCGTCCAGATTCTTTACTTACTTTTTATTATTGGTACTATTTTTTTTATTAAATATTTATTTATAAAAGTAAATTAAAAATTTCAATATTTTGTAAACTATTCAATTTATTCTTATAAAATTTTAACACAAGTTTTGAGTGTTAATAAACTTGATTTTGTAATTTAATTTAATTGAATCAGTAATGGCGAAAATAAACTAATTTAGGACCAAAACACGTAATTAATTATAATTAATACCCTGTGATCTTGGATATTTAGAATCAAAAGTATTTAACTTTACTGTTAACAAATATTTTAGAGAATTTAAAATATCATATACTATATAAAAATGTATCAACTAACAAAACTTGTGTTAAAAATAAGATAAATTAAATAGTAACAAAATACTACAAGATATTCATATTTTAACCAGTATTAAATCAACGCTACTGATCCAATTATTATTAAAATATAGTGTTATCATTTCATAATTATAGCTTTTTTTTAATGAGTTTTTGCCAGTTATACTTTTTCTACTACAAATACTTGTTATTGTCTAAAAATGGTTTAAATTAAATATTTGTATAAAAATAATAGAGTAACAATTTTTGGGAATCTATTACCGTCGCGCCTGTGAAAATGTCAAATTTTTATGTGTAAATCTAAATGTATCTCTTAAAAATGGACTGACAACCGTTTAGATATAGAAGCTGTTTTTTATTAGTTCCGACAATAAAATAGGGCTTATTTGTCATTTTTTTATTAAAAAAATATATAAATTAGCAACAATGACAAATAGCACGATAATGAGATTGCATTAATTTATCAACATAATTTTTATATATATATATATATATATATATAAAGTTTGTTTTAATCAAACGGTGCATAAATATTTAATCACACTGGGTATATACATATGTATTTATATTGACAAATAATGCTTAGCTAGGGTTATTGATATAGAGTTGTTGTTTCACTGTTTTATTTTTATTATTATTGATAATCAATTAATTGTGCTATATTTGACCTGCCATAATTTTATTACTTTATTATACCTGATTGTATTTGTTATTTTTGATTGTACAATTAAATTACCGTTGTCTCTTTATCAAACATCTTTATATGACACTTTTTTTAAATACACATTAAAGTTAGTTTTAAGTTAGTTGACAGTTGTCAAAGTCATACAATCGTTGAAATGAAGTGCTCTTCTTATAAAATAATAATAAGGAAATTATGTTATTATCTTAATAAAAAAATAAAAAAGTATTAATATAATAATACCGTGAAATTCCCATAAAACATTATCTTTACTTTTACTTAAAAAAAACTGGTTCTATATCAGATTTAAACGGTTGTTAGTCTATTTTTAAGGGATAAATTTCAATTAACACATACAAATTTGACATTTTGATCGGCGGCGGTAATAATAATAATAATAATAATAATAATAATAATAATAATAATAATAATAATAATAATAATAATAATAATAATAATAATAGGAAGATAATAATAATAATAATAATAATAATAATAATACTAATAATAACAATAACAATAATAAAATTAATAATAATAATAATAGAATTTATTTATTTTATATTTTTTAGACATTTTTAAAATTTTTTTTTCAATTATCACCTGATCTTTTCAGGCAAAATATTATACAGTTGAATTCCATTGTGTATGGCAGAGTTTTGGCAAGCATTAGCATAGCATAGTTCTTCCTAAATAATCTCTAAGATTATTTGCGAATCTAAGATATCTTATATATGTCGCTTTATACAAATGTTTAATTTAAATGATTTTTAGAAAATAGTATTAAATTTTGTCGTAGAAAAAGTATAGTATGCATACTCGTTTATAAACTTATGAAACTTGATATATAATATTATAATAATAATAATACATAATATTATATTATATTATATATTATATTATATATTATATTATATTATAATTATTGTCGACCAGTGTAATCATATTAAAACATTAAATAACAAATTAGACTAAATAGATTAAATAATATACCTAACTACAAAATATACACATTTTATGTCATAAAAATTGTGATATAGGTCCAAGATTTCCCCTTAATTTCCAGCTTTATCTGCCACTGTTTGTGGCAACACAAAATTTATACATCAACAAAATTAATATGCACTTTTATATACTTCCTTTATTTTGACTTTTTCATACTTTGTGCTTATTTAAATTACTGCTTAAACCACATAATTAACAGTAAGCGCGAAACGAAACTAAAATTATAAATACATTTTTAAAAGTGGCAAAAACAACACGCCCAAACTGCATGCAATTTGTTCATTGATCTTGGTCAATTCTAAAACAGCATTTGTTTTTATTTAAAAAACGTATAATAATTACAGGAATTACATAATTAGTTTCATTTACACTTCATAGTTAGTATTCAAACTGCTTAGCACGCTAGCTTATACATTTTGTACTTTCTTTAATGCTAAAAATTTAACTTTTGTAATATACGTTTTATTTTAATCATGAAAATTGAAAGAATAATAATAATTCAAATAACGGAAATTCAAAAATTGTTTCGGTTTTTATTAATTTGCCATAGGGCGTTCAAAGGAAATTTGGTTGTGCTGATTCCAAAATGACCTTTATTTTTCTCAATTAACGATATTATTGAAAAGTTTTTAATAAAATCCCGATTTTAAGACATTTAAAGAACACAATTCGTATACACTGTTATAAAAATCAGATTAGTTAACATGAGTTTGTAGTTTGTTAATTTTATTTTGTGAAATTTTAACCTAATTTTTTGTAGAAAACCAGGGTTTGTAATTATTTTAAGAAAGGAAAACAAATTAACAAACTATTTCGTTAAAAAAGTACACGTGATTTTAGGCAGTCGATCAAAACATTTCCCACTGACAATACGCATCAACAAGTTCAACTGACTTCAGCGTCTGCAACTTGTTTCTGCTTACTTTATTCTAATTCGTAACGTGTTAGTATCATCTGTCCAGAGTGTTTATAAAATATTACCAGAAATCTGTTATTATTGTTTTTTGTATTCCTTATACCTATTTAACGAGTTTGCGAAGTATCTGAAAAAAGATGCCAGAAATTAGGGAATACAGTGTTACGAAATACACCAGTAAGTGTTATAGTAGTATTGCACTCTTAGAAAAGACCTGGTATTTGTAACTAACTTATTATCGTTGGGGTAAAACTGTTGCAGAAAATAACATTTTTTGTTTTTTGTAATCAG